ACTGCTAGTTTATTCACGCGGGCTCTGGTTTATATATTTGGCTGTGACCAATCACAGGCTGCCACAAGGAAGCAGGGCGGGAATGGGATGCAGGCTCTGGCTACTATATCCAGCTGTGGCCAATCAGGAGTTGCCACAGAGTACGGAGTGAGTGCGGGGTGCGCACGGGTTGGCTAAAGAGGAACGTAGCGCATTGCTGATGCTGGCGTGGTCCTTAGTCCTGGCTGGGGTATGGTATGTTGAGCGCCTGCGCCCAACAATATATGATTAACTTTTCATGTGAATTTTGGAGGGGACATGGATTCAAACCCCAACATCTGTCTTTTATGGATTTGTTTTCATTAGAATTTCTCTTTGTTAGTAGTTAGTAGTTAATTGTAGTTTTATTGTCATATTGTCCCCTTCCCTAGGGAAGTCTCTCTAAGGAGATTAGAGGGTTCAAATGTCAGAGTTAACACTAAATTATACTTGAATTGTCTTAGTTCTTCTATATCAGAGGAGCAAAGCTCATTCCATATAAAAGGATTGCTGTTACAAAAGTTGACAGAGAAGTTGTAAGATTAGTTAACTAACATTTTGTGTTTTAATACACAAATTTCTTTATCCTGAATTTATAGACCAAATTTTTAAATACAGTACAGTTTCTAAGACATTCCAGGAGTTCTGTAATATTTTCTGATTTGTCATTGGATATTTTCACCATGTTTAATATAGTACATCTACTGTCGTAGTAGGAGATCCCCTGTCTCTAATTGGAGTGGTTTATATTAATGACTTTTACATGGAGAAAATAATAATGAACACTTGATCTCTTCTATGATGCATATTTCTCAGAAGAGCTAAGTCTCAGCCTGATTTTCTCAGAAAGCAAACTCAAAGACTAGTGTGCTGATATTTTATATGATGGACAATTTAAAGGGGTAGGAATGAGGAAAAAAGGTGTAATTCAGAGGAGGTAGAGCCAAAATGGTGGATTGTGGGGAGGTCTGTAACTACATCTCTGGACCATTCCTCAGAGGGAAAACAGCAGAAACACTGTGTCCACTGCTTCTCACAAGCTGTTTGATAGCTCTGCCCCATAACATACCAACTGCCCCATACTTCCAGGTTGTGTGTTCTGGGTAGGACACCAATCAGCGTCCTGTGGCCTCACCAGTAAGGCTGCCCTGGGGCTGGGAGCCAGAGATACACAGGAGGGGTGGAAATTGAAGCAGCATCCCATTAGTTTTGTGCCTTTGGCCGGGACACATGGAGAGCTGGGCTACCGAGGGCGTGATGAGACGCAGGCCTGGTGGAGGGTTTGGTTTTCTTCAATGTATATGACTTGAACTTGTCCTAATACCTGTGGGTTTCATTCTGTCTGCACACAGACGTCTTCTTCCTATTGCCATGATTTCCCTCTAGGATCTTGCTGCTGGGACTTCTGCTGTCAAAGGGTGACACATGAGGCATATTCTGAGATGGATGGAGAGCCTTGCGCTCTATGTAGAGGGAAAGTCATAAGAACATGCTGCTAAGTACAGCTGTTTTCTCCTTTGACTGCTTTCTTAGGAGTCATTCAGCAGAGATACCCTGACTTCTGACAGAGCTCTCATACACTTGGGGCTGCATATTACACACGTGGGTGTGACCAAGAGCAGCTGGCCATGTAGCTGACTGCATCACAATGAATGCAAAGGGGATGCTGTGAGTCAGGAGCCGGTGAGGATGGGCAGGATCCTCTGCAGGGCAGAAATGTGCTGAAAATAACTCATCGACTGAAGTCTCTCTTAATCAGGCAAGATTGACTGCAAATTTCTTTAAAAGTCCTCCGATTTCACTCTTAGATATTAGTTAAAATAGATTATTTTATGAATCATCTCATTTTTAGAAATAAAAAATTAGGTAGCAAAAAAGGTAAACAGAGACCTTAATTTTCCACCCTCCTTCCTTAATTTTTCCCAGCACTAGAACCCAGCCAAGGTTTCCCTTTTTAGAGAATGCTGGGGTCTAACACAAAATCAATGAATGATTTACTGCAGGAAAATGCACGTTGCACTGGTACATTTGCACATATGGATGCACATATAGTTTTGTGTAACATTTTACACTGTGAAGTCACTTTCTTTAATAGAGGCAAGAAAAAGAAAGGATAATGTCACACAGTCCTGTATGAAGCTGAGAATAAGAGTTAACTTTAAGCAGCCCTATTTCCCAAACGAAATTTCATGCTTACATTCTAACAAATTAGAGAAATTACACATTTTTCTCATTTACAGGGACTACTGAATTTTGAGTGTAATTTTTCTCCTTATGGACAGATTAATGTAAATGCAGAGGAAAACCACACAATTTGAGGGGTTCAGGGAAAGCAGGGTGTGTGAAGGAAGATTGGCAGGGCTGGAACTTCCCAGTGTGGAGAAAGGACTACAACTGCAGTGCGCTGGTAGAGCCCTTGCCTGGTGTGACATGGCCCCAGCCTCAATCCCGGGCACACCAAGGAACGAGAAACAATATGGAGGAAGGATGCCCGAGGGGCTGGATAGACTCTGAAAACACAATGAGCATAATTCATTTTTGGTCATAAAGTATTATGGTGTGTCAAACCCACATTTATTCTTTAGAATATTTTTATTCATGAATTATTTTAATTTTCATGAGTTTTATATTAAACAATATGTCTTTAACAGGAAATATATCACCGAAATAAAATATTGCATTTTTACTATTTATTTGGTGTTTGTAATATAGCATCAAAATTTTCAACATTGACTGGATTTTGTTGTACAAAGTGTAAAAAAGAACAACAGAAAAATTATTATATAAATTACACTGAAAATACCAATAGCACTCTACAAAAAAATCTTTACTTCCATTACCATACCTAAGGCAGTCTGCACACATGACGACAGCATGTTCCATACATGTGTATTGCTTATCCTGACAATTTGTGTGTTATTTTCCTGGCCTTTTAATAGGACATACCTCAGAGCTCATTGGTCTTGCTGTTTTGTCAGGAAGTCGTTATTATATTATGCAATGTATAGTTAACAGGAACATAAAACCAATAAAATAAAGTATTAAATTCTTAATATGCATTGTGCATTTAGGGTAAGCAGCAACATTTTCACATCAGTTGTGTACTTGCTCATAATATCTAAGAGAGAACATCAGAAATAAAAACATGTATGAGCTACAATGTAAACATAAACAAAAGTCTACCACAGGAATAGTACTTGCTTTAATTGTCACACCCAAGGCAGGTACGTGACAACTGCATGTTCCATGCACACATGCCACTTACACTGGCAGCACACATGCCTAACTTTCCTTTCCTATGCAGCAGGACATTCTCCTCACCTCTCTTCTCTTGTTTTGTCAGGAGCTTTCTACTCTATTGTTCAGTGTGCATTTATCAGGGAAATAAGATATCAATAATATAAAATATCAAATATGTAATGAGTATTTATAATAGACATCAACATTTTTACATCAGTTGTTTACTTGCTTATAAAACCTAAAAGAAATAAGAACCTATGTGAACTGCAATGAAAATACCAATAGAATTCTACAACAAAAATAATCTTTGCTTCACTCATCACACCCAACGCAGTTTTTGTACATGAAAATTTCATGTTCCATACACAAATATGGAGCTTATACTGATAGTACATATGTTTTGTTTTCCTGTCTTTTCTTGTGGGACACAGTTGACATCTTTTTGTTTTCCCATTGTTACAGTAGGTCTTTGTGATGCTGTGCCTCCCTGTTCATCTGTCAGTTCATTAGCATGTTCCGTGATTATTTTTGTGTAGTTCCCTGAGCAGGAATATTTTGTTTTTTCTTTGCTTTCAATGATTTCTTATGAGGTCTAGTCCCTGTCCTCTAAAATAATTTCTCCATGGATTTTTGAACTTCTTATTTTCTTTGTAAACAATCGAACTATTTATGCTGTATGAGTACTATTGAGTGAAATACCACCAATAGCAAGTGCTTTAGGTTTCAGGTGACATCATAGTTGTTGCATAACTCATCAACAGCATCTAAATCATTTTTGGTCTGTAGAAAGTTTTTATCTCAGGCTTCCATTTTGTCAAGGTTCCCTATCAGTAATTCCATCAGTGACATGTTGTCATCAGCAGTAACTGTTTGCTTTTCTTTGCTATATAGGAGGCCAATGTAAATCTTTCAGAAATTCAAAGACTGTACCATACAATTCTATGTTTTGAAATTGCAACATTCCATTTGTTCCTGTGTACAGTTTCTGTAATGGTCAACGTGTGCTTTGTCAGTAAATTTAACATTGATTGGAAACTGGTAAGCCAAGTGTCACATTTCACATTCTGATTAGTTTGGAAGACGAGAGAGCAACAAATCTGTTCACAATATCATTCAATTTATTACTATACAGATAAGAAACTGAGTTCTTACTTAGCTGAGTTCTAGGGTAAATTCTAAACTGAAAACATAGTAAGTCTTCACATCTATATGGACATAAACGTTTATGCCATAGTTTGGCCCATCACTTTTCCATAAGTCTTTTATGTTCCTACAATCACCATGAGAAATCCATGCTAAGTACAGCAGACTATGAATACTTTCAGTTCAGCTAGTGAGATGTCATGATAAATACATTTTTTTTTTTGGTCTTTTTGAGACACAGTCTCACTATGCAGTTTAGGCTGGCCTTGAACTCATAAGAATTTTCCTGCCTCAGACTTCTGAGTGCTGGGATTGTAAGTGTATTGCCACTATGCCTGGCGATAAGTATGTTTTTAAATATGACCATTAGTGCATACAGAACATTTTACTTGTATTCTAGTCTTTGTGTACTTAATAGTATTTTGTAGCATTTTGACTGTTATAATTTCCAATGTTGAATGGCAGGTCTGGCATTTGTCCAATTCTTTTCTCCCCTGCCTAGACCCTCACTATAGTTTTGGACCTAGTTCTAACACTGATAATTCCATTTGGTTGCATGACAATTTTATAACATTTCAAACAGTCAAATATATACTCACATTGATTTTTCCTTCATCATCTGAATCAAGGAGCTCTGCAATTCCCAGTGTCTGTATCAGTTCATTATCCATTTCACTGTCAGGAATTTTGGCTTACATGGCCAGTGTCAAAGTCATCATTGTCATGATCATCATCATCCACTTAATCCTATTATGAAAACATGTGTTTTACCATAATGGATCATCTTCATCATCCATGCATGACTAATTTGTTGATTCATTTTTTACCTCCTCCAAATCTTGCAAATCTGGCTTTTCAGATGTCACACTGTACTTAACTGGGCTATTTCCACCAGGAAAACAAAACCAAAACATTTTTTAAAACAAATCTAAGAGTGGTGTGTATATGTTATACCCTCTATGATACTTGGGTAAACATACACAAACCTGTTAGATGGAACATAAATGTTGGTAAAATTCCAGGTTCACACTTTTCCACATGTGTGCAAACTTTGCCTTTGGTAGTACCAAGTGACTAAACACAAAGATTGTTGCTTGTGTTCCTCAGACAAAGGTACTGAGATGCACAGCCAGCTACTGTTACACTAAAGTAAAAATTTAAGTAGAAAATTAAGGGATGTGTTTGTGGAACTCAGTGTCACGCTTTTTTGGTTAAGTGATGTTGCCAGGTCCCTATTTTTGTTAGTTGATGAAGGCAGAACAGGAAGTAGTGAGATTGAACTGTTTCAGGGAAATTTAAGTGAAAAATGAGGAGAAATTTTGACCATGAGAATTATGAAGCAAAAGTTCAAATTATCCTGGGAAATAATGAATCCACTTTTACCAATCATATGCAAAGTAGTACTTGACCACACATTTATCTGGGACAAGTTAGGAATAATAAAAGCCAACTTTACCAACATTATGGGAATACATTAAATGATCCAAGAGGGAATGCTTCTCAAAATCCTTACCATGTACTGAAAAATAGACTCAGTAGGAAAGAGGAACTTTTAAAATATCTAAGAACAAGATATTAGTTCTACAAATAGTTGTTCATTTTCTACTGTGTACAAAACTCAAAATTAAACTTTGTGGAGGAAGGAAATAAAAAATCCTAAGTATGAAGACTTTGGGTCATTGATTGGCTAGAAAATAGGTAGCCCAACTTTAAAAATTTACATGCCCTTATTGTAAAAACAATTTTGAGTATTTAAACTTTAAAATGTACATTTTTATAGAATATAAAAATACTATGACATTGTAAAATAAATCAAATATAAATTAAAAAGGCTGAAATAAGAATAAATCTTATTTAAAATGTTTTGCTAATTGTGATGCTTTCATCTAGCATTAACTTATTATTTAAAGCAACAATAACTGGTTCACCAGTTTGATGTTTTACAATAATTGTTACCTTTTATAGTGAATCATCTTGATGATTTTAAGGCTATTGGTTGATTTCTTGTCAGATCTGATTAAACTATCATTATTTTTATCATGTACAGTGGCCAAAAAAAAAAAAGCCATCATACCAGGAATAGATGTGTCAGCTCTGCTGTTTCTGATTGTTCTCTTTGCATATACACTTTTAATAATCTGTGACTGCTCTAATGGAAGCTTTCTGAAACTCTGGTTTCTTTCATGAGGGTTATTGTATCAATGCTGTGTGATATAGTCCTTAGAATGGCAGGGTTGACACATGCTGTCTGTATACTCCTGTGTTAAATGACAGACGCATTGAGACATTGTTTCCTACCCTTTCTCAGGACAACTGGTGACCCTAGAGTCCACACAGTGAGTGACAGTGCATCCATTAAAGACTGATAAGTTTAGTTCTGTTTACAGGTAGAGAATGGAAATAGACTGCCTTTTCTAGAGTTATAGATTTGAAAGACTCACTACAGATCAATTTAGATTCTAAATGAACATGCTTTAAATGCAGTGATGAGCTCACAGTAAAAGAAATCTCTAAGAATTCCTCCCTTAATTTAAGTCTAAAAAGCTTAAAGAATGTGAATTATAAAAAGATAGTTTCCAATAATAACAACATTTATAACAAGTTTATTCTCATTAAAAGAGCTTCCAAATTACATATATGATTAAAAAATTGAACATGAGCCTTGTGGATTTGAAATACAAGAAATCATGGAAAACAAAAATATTGGCAATGTCTGTATGACTTAAACCATAAAGCTGCTTGATTGGCACATGATTATAGTATAAATATTAATGATAATGTCTAATATTTAAGGTTGAGATTAAATAGAAAACAAGAAAAAACTAAAATTATAGACAATAATGGAAACTCAATTGATGTAGAGGCAATAAAATTATGAAAATATTGTGAGGTCATTATATTATTTGGCAGAAGAAATAATAAAGGCTATTTTTTTAGAGTTGAGAATGTAAGGTAAATTTCTAAAAGTAATGATGAGAGCGCATTATTATTGATTTTCATAGATTTTAAAAATCAATCAAATGAAAGCAAAAGAAAGAAATAAGAAAAGGGAATCATAAGAGTATAAGACAGAAAGCACAAAATAAGAAAGTAGAAAAATACAAATGTACTAATACTTATGGTAAATGAAAGTGAACTAAGTTATTAAACTCAACAATTAAAATATTAATATGTCCAGGTTGCATAAAAGGCCAATACCCAGCAATATTCTTTGTGAGGCACAGTTTTCCAAAGTTTCACTTAAAATATAAACACAAATAAATATTTTCATATAAAAGGATAGGAAAATGATATAACAGACAAATTTCAGCCTTGAAAAAACTGACATGAAAATAATAATCTCATCTTTCAGCACTTGCAAGGATGGAAGTGACTCTGGGACAATGGAAACCTTTTAACTTACTGGGAACAATGAACAACTCTAAACCTGATCCACCTGGTGAAGTTGTCTTAGATAAAGCACAGTGAGAGACCTGTAGTGCTGCCTCAGTTCACAAACACTTTGGTTTGCAAACAGAAGCATTTGTTAAAATTTTGCTTCCATTCCTGAACTCTGCTTTGGTTGATGAACCAACCCAGCAAACAGGAATGCGGCCATCTTTTCCAGCGTCATGGAGCCAGTTAAGTTCATGAACCGAGGCACCACTGTGTGCTTCTCATTTTGCTTTGTCTGTTTAAGGCAGTTTCATCAGGTAGATACAGGTTTAGAATTGTTAATTATTCCCAGTGAAGGAAAAATTCAAATCCACCATTATAGTGGGAGATTTAAACTCTTGTCGTTTCAATGTGGTTCTGATAATCTGAACACCATAATCAGCGAGCTTTCTTAGTAAACATTAGAGAGCTCCACACTCAACAATTATAGAATGTCAATTCTTTGTGAGGCACCATAAAAAATATACAGACTTCTGACACACATTCTGCAGACCGAAGGAAGTGAAACTGATGTAAAAATTAGATCTCCCCAACACTTAGGTAAGTGGTTATAAATAGCACATGAGTCAAGGAGAGATCTGAATAAAAATTTAAAACACTTGGCACTGGATAGTAGCTAAAGCGCTGGTGTCAGTTTGTCAGCTGGAGTCATCTCAGAAGCCAGCCCCACAGAACTAGATTCCCCGGGGATAAACCAGGGAGGGTGAAGAAGGAGCCCGGCACAGTGGGCTGCGGGAACCTTCAGGCTGGGTGCAGCACTTACCTGGGGGAAGAGGAAAAGTAGGAGGAAGATGAAGGAGGAGAGCTTCAGAGCGTTCTGTGGGGTCCTAGGGTCCCCAAGCCAAGGAGCTGGCTGGGCCCTGTCCCGATACCCTGGCTATACTCAGCCACTGCCTGAGTCCATGTCAGGAAGCTGCAGGGTCTTCTCTGGAAGCCTGAAGGAGCTGTAAAGGAATGTACAGAGCCAGGGGAGAAGACTGGAGCTCCTCATCTGAAGGAGAAAAAGGGAAGACTTCCTTCTTTTCCTTTGGATTCTATCCAGGCCATGAGCCATTGGTTGGTGCCACCCATGTCTGACGTGATTCTTCCTTGCTGAGTGCGGAATCTCTCGTCAGTCTTCCACAGTCTCACTCAGAACTCACTGACCTGCTGGGTGTTCTTACTCAAGTTGACATTATTATTAACAACCACACAATTATTTCTAGCCATTTTTATTTGATCCCCCAATATTTCTAATGTTTCAGCTTATTGAGTGCTAGAAAGTTCTAGGATTTGATCTCTACCAATCTTCCTGTTAGATAGGTGATGGTAGATACGTAACAGGACTTTTTCTTGGGGATAAAGAAGGGATCCCAGTGATTCACATGGGACTTTCCATTTGTGCACCTAGGATTTCACGCTGTGCACTTTTCATGTATTTTTGAAAACCATAACCCAGTAAGTCATGTTTATTGAGGGATGAGTCCAGTCATTTTGGGCACCAAACCACTGTGGCTGGCCTTCTCCCTGGCCACTGTAATTAATTCCTAGAGTACAGTTTCTAAAGGCTCTGATGATGGCGATACTTGTCCCCAGCATTCACTGGCTTCCCTCCAGTTTCGGGGCAGTGCTCTCTCTTTGCTGGTGCAGTGCCACCTCCTGATGGTGCCGTCAGGTCTCTTCATGATGCCTGCACAACCTGCGGTCTGCGGGAAGGTAGAAGGTGCATCTCACCTCATTAAATCATCTGAAAGATCCCAAAAGCTCTGTTGCTTTTGCATGGGGTGGACGGTCCTTGAGAGCCTGGGGGCCTCTGACTACTTCCTGTCCCCCTAGTGTCTGCAGGCCTCACTTCACTCCAGTGAAGAACAGGGAGGTGGAGCGAGGCTGGCTCAGAGCTGACGGCCCCTAGTAGAGCGTGAGAAAGTTGGTCCAGAGCAGAGTGAGGAAGTCAGAAGTGAAAGCGGTGGGAAGCAAAGGTTTATTTACTTGGTTGAATGCAGGAGAATCATCTACCTTCCGACAGCATGCTACAAGGCAGGGGGAATTTGATTCAGTTGCCCAATGGTCAGGAAACCCATCCTATTCCTCATTATAGAGATAAGCTAGTTTCCAAAAATAGCTGTTACACCGATTTGTAAGATCTAAGCCGGTCACATTGGTGCTCTTTGCAGGCCACAGGGAGGAGAACAAGAATCCAGCCATTTCCTGTGAGTCAGCGCCATGCCTGGGCCATAGAGAGGAGAACCAATGCCAGCCACTTGCAGTGCGTGGGTGGGCTGGAAGACTTGAAGAGCCAAGGTCTCTCCTCCCCACCCCTTGAGCTACCAGCAGATCTGGAGAAATACAGGCGGAAATGATAGTTATTGAAGTAAAATACGGCTTAATGCTTGTAGTGTTTAGTGTTTCGTTGACTTTGCAGGCCTAAAGCTAATCTGATCATCTATTTAGAGGATAACTATATGAAGTATAGCATCTGTGGGGAATCGCCTTCTGAAAATGGTAGCCATTGTAAATTCTCTAATTATTTTATTTTAAAGTCATGTATCATTTTCATTGTTTGTTTATGGTTTGGTTTTAGTCTATTTTGTCTTGTTTGATTTTATTACATCTGATGGCATGGGCAGCTATTTCAAAGATAACAAGATCTATTATGGTAGCCATTTGGATTTACTATTATCTTGTTTTGAAGTCCTATATGGAATTCATTGATTTGTTTTTATTGGTTCTATTTTATTCTGTTTTGTTTGATTTTCCTATATCTGATAGTATGGGCAGTTATTTTGAAGACAACAAGATAGGAATAGTAGCCATTGTTGATTTCCTATTACCTTGTTTTGAAATCCTATATCATTTGCACTGTTTTGTTTTGATTGGTTTTACTATGTTTTATTCTGCTTGGTTTTATTCTCTTAATAAAACTTTAAAAATATATATACAAGGTAACTAAGGTAATTGTACTGCTAATTTCTATTAATTCATTGAAGAGCAATTTGTGCTTGTATTGTTTGATCAATGTTGCATGTCTATATCTTGTAATTTGAGCAACTACTTTGAAGATAACAGTACCCAATATATTAACCACTATTAATTATCTTGTTTTGAAACTATGTACCATTTTGACTTTTCCTCTTTAACATTAAAAGAAAAATAGAAAATAAAAAAAAATCTAAGCCAATCAAGGGTCTTATTAGCCTTTGTTTCTGGGTTGAGGAAAGGTCAGGGACACAAAGTGAGCACATGCAATAATTTTACAAGAGTTAACTTCCTCAAGTACATATTGTACAAAAGCTTGTGATAAACACACAACCATTGGTCACCCAAGTCTTTTCCTGTATCATCCCTACCTACAGTTCCCTCTAACCATCCATCGTATATTATTGCTCTCAAAAAATTTTTTGTACAGGGAATCAAACTCAGGACCTCATGCTTTCCAGGCAAGTGCTGTGCCTCTGAACCACACCCCTCACCCTCTCAATGTTGCACAGTGTTCTTAGTTAAGAAATCACTTCAGTTTTTACCCAGCAGTCTCTTTGATCTTCCTGAAACTCAGTCATCTTTGAAATTTGGAGAAGGAGACAAAGCAGGGTACAGAAATCATGCTTTGTTCTTCGCGTCCACGCCAGGAGTTTCTTACTGGGGCAAGCTGCCGGTGCCTGGCTTTCTCTTCTGTTTCCATGGATGAACGCTGTCCCAGGGCACTCACTGGTCCTTAGGAAAACACATTTCTTTTGAACTTATCATTCCAGCTTATGAGATATAAATGCCAGAATCTCAGATTTCCCCTTTTATTTCTTCTACCCTTCCTGTCTTCTCTTTATCATCATCTCCCCATCATCAAATTATTCCATATATATCTGATAAATCATCATCTGCTAAAATAAATGAAGTACTTAACATTAATGAACAATGATAAGGAAATAACAATTTTTTATTTTATGGAAAAGTAAAAATTTCATAACAAAATAATAGGAGGATAACAATAGTTAATATATTGCATATTTTGTCTTTAAAGTAGTTATTCAGAGTGTAAGGTATGGGCATAAAAAATTCTCCAGTCAATATCAGCACAAACCTTCCTTTTCGATGAACTAAGCAGCACTAATATAATTGACTTGCACTTTTTTTCCCTTTTCCTTTCCCTTTTCATCCTAATTCCTTTTTCTTTTGAACAGTTTCTTAGCATTTCACAATATCTATTGTACATTTTAGACTTATTTACTCTTTCAGTTTCTCATACCAGGGAGACAATATGATGTTTATACATGCGACTGATTTTTTTTTTCGCTATGGAGTATGATCTCAAGTTACATCCATTTACCTATAAATGTCTTAAGTTTATCCCTCTTTATGGCTGAATAGTACTCAATTATGTAAAAAGACCACATGTTTTTTATCCGTTCCTCAGTTGATGGGTATTTGAGTTGTTTCCAAGATTTAGCTATTACAAATTGTGCTGCTATAAACTAAAGTTCACATATTCCATGTGGTATGATGTTTGTAATTCTTCTGGGAAGATACTCAGAAGGGGAATAGGTAGGTGAAACAGGATCTCTAATCCTAGCTTTCTGAGGAATCTCCACAATTATTTCCACAGTGGTTATAGCAGTCTACACTCTCACCAATAGTGGAAAAAGGTTCCTTTTCCCCCACAGCCACACCAACATTTGTTGTTGGTTGATTTCTTGATAATAGCTATTCTTACTAGGTGAGATGGAATCTCAGTATTGTTTTAATTTGCATCGCTTCAGTGACCATTGAAGTTAAACACTTTTCCATATATTTATTTGCCATTTGTATTTCTTCATCTGAAGAGTGCATTTTCATCTCAGATACCCATTTTTGGATTGGGTCATTAAATTTAAGGGACCTGAACTTTTCAATTCTTTGTATGTTCTAGATAGAAGTCCTTTGGCTGAGGGACAATTGGCTAAAATGTGGGTTATCTTTTCACTCTATTGGTGTTTTCTTTTGATGCACAGAATTTTTTTTAATAAGACAAAGTTGTAGTTATTGAATCTTTGAAGTATTTCCTGTGCAGCCGGGGTTTTGTTCATGAAGTCTCTGCCTATATCTACCTACTTTCTCTTCCAATAGATTTAGTGTTTCTGTGTTAATATTTAGATCTTTGACCCATTTTGACTTTAGTTTAGTGCATGGTAATAGACCTGTGTCTAGTTTTAGTATTCAGCATGTAGAGCCAGATTTTCCAGCACTATTTATTAAAAAGGCTATCTTTCTTCCAGTGAATATGTTTGGGTTATTTGTCAAAGATAAGGTGTCTGCGTGTGTTTATAATTGTGTCTGCATCTTCTCATCTATTTCACTGATCCTCTGATCTGTTTTTCTGCCAGTACCATGTTGATTTTATCACAGTAGCTTTGTAGTATAATTTCAAGTCAGGGATTGTGATGCCTCTGCCTTGCCCAGAATTGCTTTTGTTATTCTAGGTCTCTTTGTTTCTAAATGAATTTTAAGAACATTTTCTCTAGTTCTTTGAGGTGTGCTAATGGTATTTTAATCCAAATTTGATTGAATCTATATAACAATTTTTGGAGTATGGCCATTTTCACTATTTTGAGTCTTCCTATCCATGAGTGTGGGATATCTCTCCATTTTCTGGTTTCCTCTTCAGTCTCATTTTTTAGAGTACTGTAATTTTTAATACATAGATTGTTTACTTGTTTTATTAGGTGGATTCTTAAGGATTCCACCTAATTTTTTTTTGGATGCTACTGTGAAGAATGTGGTTTCCCTAATTTCTCTCTCAGTGAGTCTGTCATCTGGGTACAGGAATGCTATTAGTTTGTGAGTGTTGACTTTGTATCCAGCTATACTACTGCATTTGGTTATTAAATCTACAAGTTTTTTATGGAGTTTTTAGCATTTTCTATGTATGTACTCTTCTATGTAGAGTGTTATGCTATCTGTGAATAATAATAATTGAACATCTTCCTTTCCTATACTTCTTCCTTCC